AAACTGGTCTATTTATTTTATATAAGCAATTTGTACACTTAAAATATTCACACTTGAAATATTTTATAGCAGAACAGTCAATTTTTCCAGTCGCAAACAAAAATAAAAGAAGCTGCATTTCCAATAATTAGTAATTAACAGCACGTGTAATAGATGCACTATTAGAATTAGCTTTCAATAAAAATGCTGCATATTCAAGTTTTTATCTCATTCTCTTATCCGATTTTTTTGAAAAATGGAACGATAGGTCGTGTGATAGAATTTGAAAGCTCAATTTTTTTCCTTACGATGTTCACAGTTTATGGAGGAAGAAACGCTGTAAGGGAGAAATATTATACAGGGTGTAGCGTCTCAGACCCCTCTCTGATCATTATTCTTTTATAATCAAAGATATCGAACAAAATGTAAGAGCAAAATTGTGCACAATTACGCGTTTCTAAAATGTTTCTGGTTATCAGTGGCGTGCTGTATTCCAGTGGCATATCAAACTTACGCTTTTTACATTTTTTAATGGAACACCCCCTATTTTATTGGGGAATCGAAAAGTACTTAAAGAGCACTTATTTTTTTACAATTTTTTTTATGTAACATTAAAACCCTTTAACCGATTTCACTGATATACCCACTTTTCTTCAAAATTTGACTGTTGTTCCCATTTTTTCAATTTAAAAGAAATAGTTAGGTATCAAAGATCTTGACATAAAAGTTCATTTTTTCAAACAAGGTGCAGATATACAGGGTGTTCCATTTCAAAAATCTTATTTTGTTGAAGAACTCGAAGCTTAGTTGTTTATCTGATTTCATCGAGTTTGACCTTAATCGACCTCGTGGCTCCAATAATAAAAAAAAAAGGTAACTGCCGACTTTAGTTGTAGCATACAATACGACACTCGGGAGGGGGCGGAATGGAAGAGTATAAAAGGTGTATCCCGCCGATAGAAACAATGAAATACCCTTAAACAGTCCACTCGGTATCAAAAACTCTCAAAGGATTTTTAAAGGCGGTATAGTTGAAGGCTTTCAAACCTCTTACGGACCTTTGGATTAAAGGCATCTTAAGGTTCGAATTTCGAAGAACGAATGCTCTTAAAGATTAAATTTCTATTAAAAATTTGCTCTTAGAGGATCGATGAAAGATTCTTAAATAATATTGCAAGCTTTTGAAGCTTTTAATTACACGTAAAGGCTCTTAAAAGTTCTCAAAAACCCACAAAATCTCTTAATGGTTCGACTCTTAAGAAGAGCACAGAATTTCAAGGACAGGGCTTTTGACAGGCGAAACTTTTGAACTGAATGCGACAATAAAAGCTTTGAAACGTTATTAAAGATCCATACTAGATTAAGACAATCAAGTCAAAATTCTAAAGAAAAGCCATGTACTTGTAGTCTCTAGAAGAAGTTTCTTGGCGCCTGTGTGGCGCAGTGGCGTGAAATAGAAAGCTTGAGTGCGGATATTTGTACATGCATAGTGCGTTCGGTTGGTAGAGCAGTCTTGGATGAAACTCCGCCCACTTAAAAATAAACACAAAAAATAAAGTAAAAAAAAGCTTTTGGAAGCTCATGGAAACACTTAACTGATTTTACAAATTTGTTCTAAAAGTTTTAGAATGCTGTTCAAGACTCGGATCTGATCAGGTAAAAGGGTGCGATAGAGGCCATTAAAAAACTGTGAAAACCGTTGAAAACTCCTGGAGAAAAAACATTTGGTGACTCATTTAGAGGTTCCTATGATGCTAACTGTAATGCCATGGAAAGCCCAGTAGGTTTGGTTTCTTGAACAACAGTCGGGCTTGGCAAACCTGCTTCGAAAAAGTAGGTGTTCTCGAGCGATTTCTGAAGAACTACAACTTTCCTGCGCGACTCCTTTCCGAGATCAGGCCGGCGGGAGGGAGGAGGTAGAAATTAATTTTATCTTTCATGGTATTCCAATTAAAGGTCTCAACAAAAGAAACTGTTTTCTACCATCTCCCTACTTTCGGATTCTTTATCAAAAGAATGGATGGGGGGGGGGGATGCAACTGGTTTTATCCTTCATGGTACTCTAATGGCAGGTCTCAACAAAAGGAATTAATTACTAGCAACCATAGTCTTCTTCTCGACTCTTTATCGTGATTGGATATAAACAATTCCTTATATCTTCAAGAACTGATTGTCGGAGGATGGTACTTACAAAGGGCGATTGGGACGTCTGGAAGAAATGTTAAAACGAGTGAATATCTCGAAAACGCTTTGTTGGAGGAAAGTACCCACAAAGTCAAAATGAATTGTCTGGACGAGACATATCTCTTCGTCTCCCCAATAATCATCTAATAAATATAGATGCTACTACCTTATAACGTAACCATTTACTAAGCTACTTCGGTTTCAAAATATACGCTTTATCTGCACAAGAGTTGTGCACAATGTATACTGGTTTCATTATAGTTCTTCAAAGACTCTAACGGACCACTAAGGATTAGAATTGCCTTTTTTAAAAGGCCTTTAAAGACTTTTGCTTGATAACTCCAGGTTTTTTGAACGCTTTTGAAGATTTAAATACTAAAAGTGCCTATTTGCCTTTTGAATACCCTATTAGTGTTAAACTAAGAGACGGCTAAGAATGTAACCAAATGAGTTACGAAACATAATTCTGGGACTGCTCTCGAATCTCAACTGTAGGCTGGGAAATCCCGAACGGGGGTCCATAATTTGCTACCTATCTCGGGGGCGAGATTCTGCTAACAAAAATCTCTACGCTTTAGAATCTGTGGGTGCATGTGTGATAGATGAGTTGCGATCCACATATTTTGTCGTACCGTTGAATTTGCCTTTCAAGCCATATAACTTTCCATCTTGCTCTCATAGGGATTTGATTGCACCAACTGTGAGTCATATTCTGCGTATTTTACGCTTTCTTAGAATGTTTACTACCTGCGTAGGCATCCCAAACTTTGATTGGATTTAATCAAATGTCAAGATTGTTGAATTTTGGCACTTCATTTGAATATGTGATATAGATACTTCCTCGTTTTGAAATCTCGATTTGTGCGTTGTAAGTAAAAGTGCAAATAAGCCACCTGAGACACGCCAAAGATATATTTATTTGTGTGCATTTGTTTTTATGTCTTAGAAAAGAACCACCTTGCTGATCGATTCTTGTATAACTCTCGCCAGGAAAGATTGCCGGTCACAGAACACTTGATCCCGATCTACAATCTCTGTTTTTCGTAAGGCGTTAGCGACTTCCGCGATAGCATCGTGTCAATGTTGAACGAAAAGACTTTTTGTTCAACATTAGCACGATCCTATTCCAGATGTCGCTCGCATCTTAATAAAAACAAAAATTGTAAATCGACACAAGGTGTGCTGTGACCGGCAATCTTTCCTGGCGAGAGTTATATGTAACGCTTGACATGTAATGACAGAGCATTGGTTTTGTGTCAACCTTTAGTTAAACTCTGCAAGTATCTGACCTCTAGAAGCCTACATGCCATATATTTTGTTAACATTGTCGTTATAATTTGATTTTATGCATTCACACCATTACAAACAATTAATTTTTCTTGGTAAGTTCTTTTTTCCCAGCCTATTTCTGTTTTTTTACCATTTTCAAAGTTTATTCTTGCAATGTAATATATTATTGATCTTCGTAATAATAATAATAATTATTAAAGAAACTTTTCATAATTTCAGTGTGTTATTTTACGTCCCTTTCCTACTGTACTTCAGGTCATAGCGTTGTTTACAACTAACGTAAACGAGCACTGCCTTAGATGTTTGATCACGTGCCACTTTTAATTTAAAATCTAAGCGGGATTCCAGTTAGCTTTTGGAGGGAGCAGCCATTTTTAAACGTTGCCGGGTTAATTTTAGTTCTGGTATTATGAAGTTTGCGTAGAACCTGGAGGTTAAGTACATTACAAACGTGAAAATATTAGGTCATTGTACGATGGAGTAGAAGGCACCAAAGTTTGACATTATCGCTTTTTACTTTTCCTTTTCCTGTCTCCGGGGGCAAAAGTGTAGTTATGGAAATAGAACAATTTAATTTTCACTCAATGCTGCGTTACGAAGAAAAAAGCACCTACATATTCATGAAAAGGAAAACAAACAAACACGTTCAATTTAACGAAAGTTATCTATATCCCATAAAGCCTATTATCAAGGTAAGTATTACTATTATGCATTTTCCAGGACAATTTGCATTTTGTTCAGCAGAAAACAATTTGGGTACAACATTTCTTTATGTTCGATTTCTAAGGCACTTACTCCAACCGGGAAGTTGCTGTCTAAGCTCTTTTGCTTCCTTAGTGTTTTCCCGATTGCCTACACCCAAACCTTTCCGTTCCCTTTTTTGTTTATCCATCAATGTCACAATTATACATTGCATTTTTGGCTTTTACCGCAATTTCCCAAAAGTCGGTCCATTACGCGTATGACTTTTTACTAGTATAAGAGCTATCGATCGACTTGGGGTCATAGATTTAACGCTCGGTATCCGAAAAAATTTGCCGGAAAACAAAAGGAAGACGAGAAAACTTTGTCTTTAATTTAAACCTTATAGATAATATTTGTGTAATTTTCAAAATATTTTGTGTAACACGGGCGAATTACCTACATCAAAATTGTAAATTTAAATTCCACCACCTGTTACCGCAATTCTCTCGAGAACACCTTCCGTAAACGAAAGTGGAAATGTTTATTTCACGCATACACAAATAATTTGTTATCGAATGACAAAATCTTGATGGATACAACTCTATCCGATAAAAGCTTCACGCGACATCCGATCCGTCGTCCAAATGTAATGTAATTTGTTTTTCATGCGAAAATTTTGCGGTTTTAGAGCACGTTTCTACATTGGGGAAGTTTTTGTGTTAATATCGAACGCATTGTTTTCGGAGAAGAAGGGAAGAATGTGGTTAATTAAAAACACAAAATAAATGTCTTGTTTTCACAACAAAGGTGGCAAAACGTACAACGCACGATTAAAATCGATAGCCATTAAATAAGCGACTTACCAAGTCAGATACAAGAGGTATCGACTTCCTTCTCGGTCGGATATCCGGCATACTGTCAATGTTGCTGTAAAATGGGTTATCCCCCGGGTGCCTGAAAAAGAAAATGCATTAATTAATTGGTGTTGCTTTAACTGTAACGGTTTAGTAGTGCTTTATGTGATTCTATAGTGAAATGTAGTCAGAGCGGCGCGGTGTAATTTCAGTGCAAATAAATAATTTAACACCCTAGTGCCATGGAAAGCAACATGGCGACAATATACCACGAAGTTATATTCTGGATTGTTTTACGTTAGTTTGACCTACACAGTAGTCGCAAAGACTTAATCGCTCCCTTGGTGTGATTACAAGATTACTGGTTACGCGAAATCGAAACCTTCCAATACCACTTGCATTAATCAGATTTACTTATTTCGTCCTCTTTGTCATTTTGTTTATGTTTCGTAAAGGTTCATTGATCCTATTGATTTGCTAGGAGTTTTCTCATTTTTAATATAATTAATATTTCATTGACTTTGAACCCTGAACGTATCGCTCAAGATATAAAAGAAAATAATTAAGTTTTTGCCCTGAAGCGAAAGAATACCGTTACCGTCTTGAGCCAGGGGTGTTACCAGAATGTAAACGAGATCATCCTCCAGTAAATCAATTGTATTAAAAGAAAGAAAACGAACGTCTCAAGGAGAGTCATTTCATTCGGAGAATTTTTGTTGTAAGGGTAGGTTGTCGCTGTATAATTTTCGGATATCTCCAAGGATCATCAGCTGGATTTGCAGCAAAGCGTATGGAAGGCATAGATGGTGCTCTTGTTCGTCAAACGCTAAATTAGAGAGTTTCACGGTCACATAACGGCAAAATTATGCATTTTTCGAGAAAAACTTTTAGAATATTCTTTAAAGTATTTAACAAAACTTTTTAAATAATATAAAACTTTATTTAAACGAAATATTTAAAATTGTGTAACAAAGAAAACAGTAATTCGAATAAGTCGAACTGTTTTTCAGTTGGGAGAGTGCCCAGGATACATGCGCTATTTCCACGTTGGATAGCCAAGGATATCCTTTGGAATAAAATTAATTTTTTTTAAAACAAACTAGCATAAAAATGAAGTGAGTTACGATGAAAATAAGGTAGATCCGTACTTCTTTCAGCGAAAAATCAGTGCAAGCAACCCCCTAATTAAAATTAGTCCTTCCCCTTTTCAAGTCTTCTCTAACTACGTATTATTAATACATTCTAGAAGTGTGACCAGTTTAGAAGACTTAATTTTGAAATATTTGAAGCTAAAAGTGAAAACGAATTTCTGCAATTGTGTATTACATGATATTACAACAGCATCCAATTGTAGTATTTTTAATTCCAAATATCTTCCTTACCGGGAATGTACGACACAAATCAAGTGAGATATACACGTTTAAAATGTGTATTTATATGGTAGCACTACCTTGTTGTGGCCCTTTAAGCTTACCCCATTTTAAAACTTTGAGTTTTAAAGGTATTTGATGTAAATAGCCTTGTAGCTCTTACATAAACCTACAAAATAGTTTTTTAATGCTCTTTTTAGCATAAAAAATAAAGGACTTATGATTAAAAAACGAATCACAATTTCTTCGAAAAAGTCTGAAAGCCCAAATCGGAGGATGACCGGCATACACGTCGTATACTACACATTAGAAACTTACATACACACTTACGCTATGTAATTTATATACAGGGCGAAATATCACCACTTTGGAAGTCTTATTTAATTAAACCATGGATTATATCAAAATGAAGAGTATTAAAGTAAGCGTTTTTTCACTAGAAAACAGGTTCACAAATTTTCAATATGACCCCACTCAAGAGATATCGATACGATTATACGTGCGCGTCAATAATAGATTATCAACTTTTTGAGGGTAAATACTTTTTTTTAAATTAAACTACAATAAGGGTTAATTTTTAAGGGTTGAAATATTCTGCAATAATGTTCCAAAGCCTCTAACAATCATTACTCAACTCATCTGAACCAAATTTCACTCACATTAAGCTGTAATATGTAGTTTTATGGATTTTGGCACAAAGGAGTAGTTTTCACCCCTAAAAACTGAAGAGCGCATATTGGCATAATATAGATTTTGAAGTGGAGGGTAAGTTGACCTTAATCCCAAATTCTCAAGTATATAGATGCATTTTGAAAAAATTACCAGGTTTTAAGTTTCGTCATATATTTTAATTGAAATTACCTATCTTTGTTACCTATATCGAAATCCGAAACCCTTTTATTAAATGGGGTACGTAAGTTTGAATTAATTGGAATTAGGTCTGCTTTTTTGGCATTGTAGTTTATGGATAAACTCTTCTTTATACGTTATGAGCATTGGACTGATCGTATTAAAGAAGTACCGCGTTTTGGATGAGATGCAAACACTCACTTTCGAATTGAAGATTGCTACATTTCGATGAGCTGGAACTGATTTTAAGTATCTAAGATCGAAGAGTCGCTACCAAATCTCAAATATCGGAAATTGGAAACGTACAGGTCTGTCGTTAGTTTATCTTCACCAGTCTTGTGACGAATTACTCTTCAATTGATATATTGAATACAAGAGTTGGGGATGTTTACGTAACTACAGTTTGCATTTATCTTTGCCTTTGTTGTTAGTGTTAACGAAGGGAATTCAGTAATTTATCTGTCTGTCTGTAAATCAGTAACATTAACATACTCAGCTGGGCTGAAAATTTGCGTTTAGTTAAAAGTAACTTTGCACAAAACTGCTAATTTATTTACTGTTTTACACAATTAAATATCTTTTGTGTATATTATACTTTTTTGGCGTGACTTGTGCATGCTTGGCACCAAAAAATTATATGAGCTTTGTCAAACCTCGGTGTTTGTTTCACTGGAATACCGTTCCCCTTGGCTAGCCGTTGCCCTTTTCCTTCTTGAGGTGACTTTATAACAGTGACTTTGAACCAATTCGTAGTTCTTACCAATCATGCATGCAGTCCATGAAAAGAGATACACTTATCATCTCTGGAGGTCTATCAGAGTGGCCTGGGTTCATTGACCGTTTTAGACATATTGTGGATGCATGTCAGTTGGTGCAGGGTGAGAAATTGGAAGGGTGACGCAAAAGACTATGTGAAGAATCTTCTCTTCACACATGCAAATGTAGATGTGGCCTTAGAGGCATTAGAGAATTCCATTAAAGGCTTCATAAGAATGACTGAACATTTGAACCAAGAGGGATATTGGCGAAATCCCGCGTTGCTCAACGAGATTATTGAGAAGTTGCCATGGAAAACGAAAAATTCATGGGTTCTGAAACACTGTCAACCTAGGTTTCAGTTGGATGGCTGATTCACGTTTCACTCTCATCAGCTACAAGGAACCCTCGGACGAAAAGGTTTCGAAAAAATAGAATGTCCTGGTAACTGATGATATTAGTGAGGATGGAGGTCGAAAGTGAAACCCACGGAAAAGTCAGCCAAAGCGAAATCAGTCAAACAATGGGAGTTCGACGAGAAGAACCCGTGTGTTATTTGGGATTGGCATCATAGGCTCGCCAAATGTAAGAAGTTTGCAGTACTTGCAGTGGATATGCATTGGTGCTTGGTTAAATCAAAGAAACAGTGTTTTCATCGCCCTGGAAAAAAATCATAGACTAATAGTTATTTATTATACAAGACGATAAAGGGATATTTTAACCATTGAGTGAAAGATGATGACGAGATGGTTAGTTTCCCTTTATCGTCGTGTATAATACAAAACTTTATTTTATAGCAGAAGCCATATAAATAATTGTAAAATTTCTGACTATTATAAATTTAATTTAGATATGTCAAAAATAGCAAGCTTAGGTTCTGTCGTCGTGATCGTTTCTATAGAAACAGAATTATCATATGTTCTGGACGTCATTTTATATCGTGCATTTGATGTCATTAGAATGCACACTCATCTGTTTCACTTTATCTACCCTTACGGTTAAAGTGATCACTTTATCTATCCTTACGGTTAAAGAACGGCTTATCCTACTCATTCAAACCTATTGAAATGTCATTTTAACATATGCTATAAAATAAAATAAATTAATCTTCTCCAATATAAGAGGCACAACTTGTTTTTTCTACTAATGCAAACTACTATTTCGTAAATAATAGTTTTATCACTAGATAACACAGACATTTGGGTTAATCAAAGGTGTAAATGTAATTTTAGTAGAAATTGAGAATTTTCCAGTTAGGTGTTTATTTCATTTTGACTCTTTAAAGTCTTGAATAAAATCAACATTGAAATTTGTTTTATTTTATAGCAGAAGATGTATAATATTGACATTGTAATAGGTCGCTCTTTAACCGTGAGGGTATAGATAAAGTGATCACTTTAACGGCAAGAGTAGATAAAGTGAAACAGATGATTATACATTTTAATCACATCTCTCCCTCTTATTTCAAATTGGACGCGGAGCACGATATAAAATGACGTTTGAATATATGACAATGCTCACCGCGACGGCAGAACCTAAGCTTGCTATTTTTGACGTCAAAGTTTAAATCAGAATTGTATATCTTCTGCTATAAAGTAAAGTTTTGTATTATACACGACGATAAAGGGAAACAAACCATCTCGTGAAAGTTAATTCACTCAATATCAAATATATAATAAATAACTATTATTTAATAAACTAAACGGCGAGAATTTGTCACTCCTTCCTACTAGGTTAGAAGAATGGGGATCGCCAGCTAAGGACCGTTAATAAACTTTCTCCTTAAATGTATGTGTGCATTTTTCTTTGTTTTAATAAATGTTCTTTTCGTCAGTGGGTAAAATCAGGACATTTTTTATCGAAGAACCGGGGAAACTTGAATCGCTCCAAAGTGTACGATATCAGCATCAAAGTAATACTTTAATTACTTCATTTATCTAAATCCTAACCTCTTTGACACCATACCATAAATAAATCATTAGATTTGAAAGCTATATCCTCAAAAACATGGCGTAGAAGACATTGTAATTTCTTTCCTTCAAAGTATTACAAGTAAAAACCAAAGTTTCTTTTTAAAAGTTTAACTTTTTTATGCCTCTGCTGAGTGCGATACTAAAAGCCAGCA